GTTCCAAAACTCTGGTATTGTGTACTTCTGCTATTAAAACATTAAATCTGGTTTTTTCCCTTTCTGTAAGAACATTCTGAAAAAGGTATTCTGACATAGATTAGAATATAGATATATCACAAACAGTGGGGAAAAAAGGGAATGGGATGGTTTTCTCATTATAAGACATTCTTGATCCTCCTGTTTAACGTTTACATGAAGCCACTAAGTGAGGTCATCTACTGATATGGGATCAGGTATCAGTATGCCAGTGACAACTATATATCTCTACCTGGTTGATAAAATGATGCTGTCAAGATCTTGTCTCAGTGTCTGGAGGCTGTCAAGGTCTGGATGGGGAGGAACAAGCGTATATTCAACCATAATAAGATTGCATGACTGTGGTTTCATGGTATTTCTGGTTTCCATCTTTAGTTCTGAAAAAAGTTGCAGTTTTCCAAACACAACTGGTGTGCAGTTTGGGGGTATTTCAGGACTCACAGATCCTGCTCAAAGACCAGGTTGCAGGTGTGGCTAGGAAGGCCTTTGCCCAGATTCATCTAGTATGCCAGTTGTGCCCTTTCCTGGACTGAGAGTGCTTTCTGTTGGGGCATAGGAAGGGGAACTCCTGTGTTGTGGTGTCTGCCCTTTGGAACAGCATCCTTCTGGCATTTCAAACAGCCCTGATGCTGTTGTCCTTCAAATGGGCCATGGAAACCAGGCTTTTTCCTCAGGCCCCAAAATAGGTTGGAGTATCTGCCCACCTGAATTGAACTGTGTTGGATTTCTCCATGGTGTATGTCTATTCCTGATATATCATCTTTTATTTCTTTTGTTGGTCCAATGTACTATTGTTTTGTTTTTAATTTGTATTTTGCCCAGAATCACTGTTGACTTGGGTATCCATAGAAATCTAAATTAGAAATAAATAAACAGCTAAAACCCTTGTTGAGATTTATGACTTTTAGAAGGTAATGTGATATTGGGAAAAGACAAATTATTCTGCATGTCTCTGCATTGAGATCAGCCCTTTCAAGACATTCTTTCAGCTTTTTTTGACTGCTGTTCCATTGTGTCTGTCTCTTTGTAGCTCATACTTTCTGAAATGGATAGGAGAGAACTCAGGGACTTCTTTTGTTTTAAAGTATATGTTTATATAAAACCACAAAGCAAGTTGTAAGTGCATTTGTGCACATGTTTTATTCCATTGTGGTTAAAGAAAAAATGAAAATCCCAAGCCAAGAGAGTATTCATACCCACTCCCACCCCCCAAATATCTCAGGCTCCAGTCTTGATCAATGCTGGATACAATTCTGAGAGTTGGGAGGCTTGAAGGCGGTTAAAGATAGATGGAGCCAGTAGAGTGTTGCTTTATGGTCATGCTTGCAGAGCACAGAATTGTAGAGGATCAGGTGAGGAGGAACTTCTTTTACTCATTCAACAATACAAAAAAAAACTTTTTGAATCACACTGCCCTGCTTTAGCGGCCATAGTGAATCATTGCCTAGAAAGAAGGAACTGAGACTTCCAAGTAAACATGAAAAATGCAAAGCCCAGATTCTTCTGCATGCAGTCAGTTTACCAGGGAACACTGTTTTTTTTAAATTATGTGTTTGGTTTCCTTCAAAAGCAATGAAGACCTATTGTATAATAATATTAAACTATGCAAATTTAAGCATCATGAGGGCATATTTCAGGGAGTTTGAGTAAAGTGTCTCTTTAAATGAAATGACACTAATAACTACCTGCATGCATTTCAGTGTCTCTGTTTCCCACTTAAGATGTAGGTCCAGTTGAAGAAAACCAAGAGACAGAACCATCTCTTTTTTAAAGAAATTTTTATTATTAGAATAATGAGATGCAAAGAAAAAAAAAGGTCTCCATTGGATAGTAACAATTGAATAACACAAGAAGAAACAGTAAGGATAAATAATTCATAAATAAAAACTTTTTAGTAACGCATTTCCCCTTCCTTTCTGTTTATTTCCCCAACCACTGACCACAACCTAGATATATATACTTTGCATTAAAGATTATTGCTAGTATCTGTTTGAATCTTTTCATCTATTATTTCTTATTGGTCTCATAATTTTCTTCCTAAAACCCATATTCCAAATGTCTAAATTTGCCCTGCTGCTTAATATAGTATATATGGAAGCCATTCTTGCTTAAATTTGGTTAGACTTCTTTGGTTAGATGGATATATGCTGTTATTGTAGCCATTGCTGCATGTTCTCCAGTTTTGGTCTCCCAATCTGGTATCATTGGCAAAGTTTCTATTTTCCAGTGTTGTGCCAAATTTGTTCTTGTTGCCATCAGCATATGACTTAGTAAATTGTGATTTTTTTTTTCATTTATGTTTTCTGGAAATGTACCTAATCAGAAAATTGTAGTTTTAGTTCAAAATGTATTTTTTAGGATTTTTGGAATATTTTGATGTATTTCTTTCCATTATGAAAGAGGTTTTAAGGTTTTTTGCAGAACTAACAGATATGATAAAATGTTCCTTCTTTGTTATGGCATTTCTTACACTTACTGTTATATAATTTGTCTATGTTGATAATTATTGACAGAGTTATATACCATCTGCAAAACATTTTATACCAATTTTCCCTTAAATTATAACTTGGAGTAAATTTTATTGATTTTTTTCTATAGCTCTTCCCATTGTTGTACTGAAAGACAAGATACAGATTCCAATATCAATAAAAGTATTTCCTGTTTTATCAAATCATTCTCTCCTTGTGTATGTTCATGGTATGTTGTATTGGAAGAAATTACATCTGGTCCTTCTAAGATAGTTACTTGAACAGTTCTAGCATCTGAAATTGCATCTTTACTTTTTATAGTATTGGAGAATCTTTTGCTATTTGTTCTCATAAATAGAAAAGAGTTTTTGTCCTGTTCTATGAATCTAATGAAATTTATTGATGCCAAGATGTTTTTCTCTGTTTTTTCCTGCGTGGCATATTTCTGTTCCTTGGATTTATTTTGATTGTATTTTCTGTTCATGTAGACGTGAACTAAATGTTCTTTGCTTAACTAATCAAGTTGAGAAATGTTCTATTGACAAGCTACTTATCTGTAAACATTTTTAATCTCTTCACTACTCTATTGCCTTTGAGATTATTCAGAGTTAAAGTCCATTTAAAATCAAGTTTGTATGTAAGATTGTACACTAGTTTTTAAGCAAGTGCCCTACTAGATGCTTATCATTAGCTCCTTTTTAGATTTTCTGTAGGAGCTGGAACAATATATCACTATAAATAAATTTTATCGATTAGCCGTCTGACCATATCAAAAAGCTATCAAAACAATACAGAAAAACAGGACATATTCGTAATAAATCATCACTGCTGTCAAACCCAATCTGTTCTAGGTAGTCTATCTTCTTCAGAATGGTTTTTGATATGAAAATTGCAGTCTTCCTAGTAATATGCATGTTCATTCCCTATAAGAAATATGACCATTTATCCTGGTTGTTCAAGTATTTCTTAGTTTTTAAGCAAGGTTCTAAGTAAACATCCCTTTCCGTAGAATATAGTTTGCAGTCATATATGTACAATATCTTTAACAGCTGGTGCCCCACAAATACACAGTCTTTCTGCAAATAGAACTCCATGGAATCTCCCATATCTTACCATGAAATCAAGTTGTTCAAAACATGTTCTAAAGAAAGCTCTTCTAAGATCTGGGGGCGTATAAGTTATTAAATACTTTTCTATTTGAAAGACTGATTTGGGTTAAACCAGCCACTTCAAGGACTTAGCATGTTTAAGGGATGTGATATCATCTTAAGACAGCAGCATCCAAGACCCTTTGTTTGAAACTTTTCTCGGCCTTCAGATCTGATTGGACTGGGAATTGGACAGAGAATTCATATTGTGATATGGTATTTGTACGTTGTGCAGCCCAAGTGTGAAGAGACATATTAAGTGCCCGCTCTTCAAACACAGCTTGGGTAATCTATCTGGGTCCATAAATAAGGTGTTCACTCAGCAGTTGACTACTTAAATTGCTAGATGACTTTGTATAGTATACCCAACTCAGCCATTACTGCTGGAGTTGGAATGCATTTGTCCATCTTCAAGATGCACTTCAGGATGATGGACTGTTTCAATAAGGGAGCATTTATCTATCCCCATAGTTCTGCACTGTTTGTAATCATTGGAACTGTTTTGGTGTTGTATACGTTGATAATTGGAATTAGGGAACCAGGGTAGCTATGGTTGGTGAACTGCCTTATGGCACTGACTGTAGTCCTTCAGTGGGTTCCTGGCTCTCACATTCCTCTTGAAATGTGGGAGCCAGGAATCTGTTTCTGTGAAAAGAGTTCCTAAGTATAGATAGGGCTTAACCTGGTAGAATATCAGAATGGAATAGTAGACAGGCAAGCTATCATATCTGATATATTTTCAGCAAATTCTGTTTTTATAGTGTTAACAATTTTAGGGTACATTATGAATAACTTACTATTTTTTTTAAAAAATACTTTTTAGATTTTGTTCAAACTATTGGCTTTAACATTTAATGACTTCAATGACTTAGGAGATTGCTAATTGAACTGGATGAGTAAGGGGTGTAACTTACTCATGAGCAACCTGTTTGTGTTTGTTACTAAATATATGGATACCATAGCATAACACCTACATATTGATTTTTAATGTAAAAATATAGTAGTATCGTACTTTCTTGATTTAAATTTTTTTTTAATTGATTATGGCTTTTCTAACAACATTAGAAAGATTTCATGCTACATTTCATTATCCCATGGGGTTCAGAGCAGCTTACTTCTTATCTTATATCAAAGTATACAAATTGGTAGAGGTGTACAATATTAAGAAAATTGGATTTTAACTTTTTGTTTGATTTGTCATGATTTGTTTGATTTTGTATTCTCTTTCTGTCTCGTATTTCTAGTGTTTTGGGAAGCAATATTGTACATTTATGTTCTCTGTCATAAATTTGTACTGTATTTCTTCTTAATAAAATGATTACTGATATGGTTTTTTATTTTCCAGCATATGCAGATGACAATTCAAGCTCTTCAGGATGAGCTTAGGATCCAGAGGGACCTGAACCAGCTTTTCCAGCAAGACACCAGTAGTAGATCCAGTGAACCATTTGTTACAGAACTTACAGAAGAAAACTTCCAACGGCTTCATGCAGAGCATGAGCGTCAAGCCAAGGAACTCTTCTTGCTACGCAAAACCCTGGAAGAAATGGAGTTGCGCATTGAGACTCAGAAACAGACCTTAAATGCTCGTGATGAGTCAATAAAAAAGTTACTGGAAATGCTGCAAAGCAAGGGATTGTCTGCAAAAGCCACAGAGGAAGATCACGAGCGTACAAGAAGATTAGCAGAGGCTGAAATGCATGTTCACCACCTGGAAACCTTACTAGAGCAAAAGGAAAAGGAAAACAGCTTGCTCAGAGAAGTAAGTTACTCACTTAATCCATCTAATCTTGCATTAATTAATTTTTTCTTGTTTTATTTTTTGATTGAAGTAAGCACTTGCAGCTTTTTCTAACCTTTTTGTTTAAAAAGCAGCACACACCTTAGTCTGGAAGCTGAAATTGCCTGAGTGCAAATCAGTTTCTTATTCATAATTCATTGTGACCTCACGTATCGTTTGATAAATTCTGTGTGTAGGAAGTTGGGATGTATCTGGCAATAATATCAAAGTATCACAAAAGATTGGAAGCTGAAATTTGAAATTTTGGGTTGTGAATATTCATATATTTTCAAGCCTGGATTCAGACAGAGAAAGCATATCAGTCAAGAACATGTTTGAAAATGGGATAAGCAACATATTTATGAACTTTACTTTTTTGTTCTTTAGGAATTCATTCTTGGGCAGGAAAAATACTGGGGCTAATCAGAAATTTATCTTATGGTTACATAACAGCAAGCTTTATTTACACTGTGTATTTATAGATATAGCTTGCCTGAATCACCACATTTCTATACATTATTCTTTGTATTTGATTTTACTGGGAAGCTGTAAATGACCATCTACCTCTGTTTAGAAGACCAAAAAAAAAAACTTGGCAACAGTAAAGAATGGTAGTTCTGTAGTTTCCATAGAAACAGTTACTTTTCTATGAAGGATGTTTGAAGCCATTTGCTGGTTTTTCATGCATGTTTTAAGTGGAATAAACATTATATTCTTCATTGATTTTCATGTAACTTTATGATAAAATTTATAAATTTAAGGTAAAAAGTAGCTGAATTACTTTGGGCGGTACATATAAATACAATAAAATCAGATAGGCAGTTGCTGCCAGGAAATTGGGTTGGGGTAGAAAATATCCATCTTATAGGGCCCAGAGGCATTCTGATAGAGAAAAATGTTGCATTCCAGATTCGTTTTGTGGATTAAAACAGTACTTAAACCAAATTAAAGTCAAATGAAGTAAGGAGATTGGACAGCTCTGTGGGAGGAATCCATGCCTGTGCTTCATTCAGCACATTGCACACAAATGAAGGAATTGTTCTCAACTAGGTTAAAGATAACTGGATTAGAAATATTTTAAACTTAATGTTTGCTTTCATGTACTTGTCTGGTTTAAAATTTTTAATTGGTTATTTTTCTCTAGTGTATCCCAAAATTAGGTCACTTTTAGCTATCCGTATCTCTTCTAGTTATCCCTAGTAACAAGTCATTTATAGCATCTGAAACTGCTAAGTCCAGGCTAATTCATTAAATTTTTCTTACCAGTCAACTCATTTTTATTAACGTTGCCTAAAATATTGGTTCTGTCTTTCCTGTGCAACTTTTAATGTCCAGAAGATGGTAGTATTTCCCTCTCAACTTCTCACTATGTTTAGTTGCTACTTATTATATAGCTGTAACTTTATGTCTGAGTTTAAGGCAAATACAGATTTAATACGGAATTTTATTGTAAAGCTGGATCTGGAAACATTCTTCAATGTTATTGCTGATTGATTTTTTATTTCTCATTTGCTGGTGGCAATGCTGTGGAAACAATCCTTTTCAATAGTTAATCTACATTTTTAATCAGATAGAGTCCAGCTGTTTGAAGTTTAAGTTAGTTTCAAAAGCTAGGGTTTTTATCTGGATTTACTGCAATCCACATTGAATCCTTTAGGTTAGCTAAAAATTCCTCATATCAGGCATTGGCTAAATACACGCTACTTTAAGTACAGTTGTTCTGTGGAATTGCCTAATTTAAGTGAAACTGTGTTGTCTTCTGGAAACAGTGTCCGTTATGCCCTTTCATCTGGTCTGTTCTAATGAAAACCCTGAGGGGGAGAAAACATGACCATAGAACATAAAAGTTGGAAGGGACCCAAGAGATTATTTAGTCAAACCCCACCCAACACAAGAACCCAGTTCTACAGTATCCCCTCTGATGATCCAGCTTCTGTTTAAATACCACCAGTGATCCTCTGATCCAGCTTCTGTTTAAATACCACCAGTGAAGAAAAACCCACCATGTTCCATTATTGAACCTTCAGATTTTTTTCCTGATGTCCAACTGAAATCTTCTGTTTCCTAATTTAAACCCGCTGTTTCTTGGCCTATCTTCTGGAGCAATTCTGAACAATTCTATCATGTAGAAGATGACCAATAATCCTTCAGATGTTTGAAGACAGCTTTCATATCTGCCCACAGTCTTCTCCAAGATAAATTTTAGAAGGTGTTCTTTAGGAACTGGCAGCCAAGACTGTATACTCCTTTCCACTCAGCCTTTCCTTCCTGAAAGGAAAGAAGAGAGAGACAGAAATGACATCTTAGTTATTGGAATGATGATGGCATTTGTGATTATGAGTCCCAGACAAAAGATTGAAATAAGAAAACCAATAGTACCGGCCTTTATATGACTGCATGAATTGACTTCACAGAATTTCCACTCAGCAATAGAGGAAATCAGCTGCTCTTCTCCATGCAGTAGATTTTAATCTGAGTTTTATGATCATTTTGACATGTAGGTATGATTATGGTAAATTTGATGGAGAGGAGGTAGCTTGCTAAAACTTTGCCTAACTTTTTGCAGTGTTTTGAGATTGAGAAAATATCTGCTTTCTGGTGTCTGAGGGTAGAATTGTGTTGCTGCTACTCCCACAAGTATGAAAACTTAGTGGCTTTTTTAAAGTAACCAAACAACCCAAAGCACACTGTAACCAAGATTACAAATGTTTATCCATGAGAGTCTTAATAATCAGCCTCAAAGTTTAGGAAATGTTCCTAAGTTTACAGAGTACGAGGACCAGATTACTTAGGAGCTATTTCAATACAGGCTAAAGTAGAGGGAGAGTTCACCTAAAAACAGCCATTTTTTCCAGCCTCTGCAGCCCAGGTTGATGAGAAACAGTCATCCAGTCAGCTTTGCTCAGAGACTGTCTCCTTTTGTTTCATCCTCTCTGAACTGTTTTTATTGCAAGTGGTTATTGCAACAGTTTAAAAAGTTAAATTACTATTAAAAAAGAATTGGTGCCTGATTTAATTTTACATATATTTACTATAGGCTTGACACTTATGAGTATTTTTAAAATGTGATAATATCTTATTGACTTGGAATATAGTTGAAATTCATGTAGAACAGGATGCTTGAAATACAAATGACAAACTATGAGAGTGACCTGGATAATTTTTTCCTACTGGATTTACAAAAGAGGCTTGTTAAAGCTTTGAAGAACTTTGTGAATGGGACAAAGAAAAAATGAAGAGAAATCAAATCCTGCAAAAATATTTGAATGAACTAAATATTATGACTGCTAGAAATAAAAGGAAGGAATATAAAGTTGGTTTATTTAATCAAGGTTAAAATAAGATATGTTATTTCTGGCTACCCTTTATGGACTTTCTGCTGACACCAGGACTGAAAAGATGATGCTTTATGATTTGTTTATAGATAAGAGATGGGATATGGGATGAAGGGATACATGTTTATAACTTTAGAGAGGGTGAAGATTTACTAAATTAGTTTATACTTGTGATGAAGCTTGGAAGTCACTTCTTTATATATTAAAAGTAACTTCTGCAGCACAAAATTTCCACAGTAACTAGATCCTGATACTTACACTATGCTAATATTTAATACCTTACACTAATATTTAATGTGACTTAACATTTCTGGATGTTTCACTTTGAAAATAGCTATAAACTGAAAAAAATATCAGTACATGGTTAGTTTGTAATTATTCTAATACAAAAATAATTTGCTCTCTGGTGCAAAACAGTTTTGTGTTTTTAGTATTTTAGTCCAGGTATTTTCTTTTTGTTCCTTCGTAACTACTGAGTACTTATGTCTGCTGCACATTAATTGTTTTGATGAACAGTTCCTTGTTATCTCTGTGGAAAGAGCTGTCGTCATCAGTAACTAGGTGGTTGCTACTCTGGGAATGTAGGAGTATTACTGGCACAGATGCTTTATCAGCTTGTTAAGTACATACCAGATTGTTGCTGTTATTTATTAATCCTGTTTTTTTCGAGTATTTTTGTCCTTCTGGAAGAAGAAAGTTTGAAAAGACCATTTCTAATAGGTATTAAGATTTTTGAGTTGCTTGAGCTATTACTTTTGATTATGCTTTTAAAAAAACCAGAAAATTATTTGTATGCAATTCACCGGACTAGCTGTTTCTTGTTTGGTGTAAAAAAAATCACCCTAGCTATATCAGGAAAATAGATGGAAGCATCTACCTATAACACTTTTTCTATGAATCCCAGAAGTTAAGTGAGATGCTGTTGTGTTTAACTAGCTGCCTAATATTTCCTCTTCTTATACAGGAGATGCACCGTCGTTTTGAAAATGCTCCTGATTCTGCCAAGACTAAAGCTTTGCAGACTGTTATAGAGATGAAGGTAAGAGAAGCCAATTATTTATATGAAATAAAATAGTTCTTCTCTTTTACTTTTTGAGTTTTCATCTTAACATATTACACAATACACTGATTCCTTCTTAGCATTCCTGCTGTTGTCAGGAGAATTTCAGAGTATTGTTGTATAAATGTGCAGAACTATTTATGTCTGGTTTATATTATGTATGTGAAATGACCATTTTATCTATTACTAGAATTGCTGTCATTAATTATTTTAATTTATGCTTGTTTTGTTATATGTTTCAGAGGATTATAGGGTTCAGAAGAAGAATTTTAGTATAAAATAATTTCAATAACAGGGAAATAATTGTTACCTTGGAAATCTTACAGAAAAAATCTTATAGAAAAATTTAAAGAATAGTTGTACATCATTTTCTAGATGAGGTTCCAGTCCTTCTGAAAGGACATGTATGTCATCATAACTAATTTCATTGAATTTACAGATGAATACTTCTGATTGTGTTGCAGAAATGTGTAAAGGTTTGGTATTAAAGGACTTTTTCTTACTTGTTTCCAAGTTCTCAGTGTGCTCCCACTGTTATTTCTGGGTTCAAAATGCCAGTTTCCATTAATGTATCACTGTTTTCTGTTAGGATTATAGATGCATATTTAATAACTGATATAGTTAAAAACTAAGTATCGCACAGTGCTACAGAGAGCAGTTACTCAAATACAGTTACCTAACTCAAATTTTGTTGGCAAAATATTGGCATTTTTTGAACAAAGGAAATTATTGTTCCATGTATTTGAAGGATTCTAAGATTTCTTCTATGGAACGTGGACTCCGAGATTTGGAAGAAGAAATCCAAATGTTGAAGTCAAATGGTGCACTCAGCACAGAGGAACGTGAAGAAGAAATGAAACAAATGGAGGTGTATCGTAGCCATTCCAAATTTATGAAAAACAAGGTAATAACTAAGAGTGTATGTTAGAAAATAACTTACAGTTCCCTAAAAAGTTAAAGCATTCACTGAATCACAGAACAGATGAAGGATTTGTTTTCTCTATGTCTTCTCTGCTAGAGTTCCTTCAAATCAAGAAGAAAATGCTTAAGCAAAGCTGTAAATCTGTGTTACTGTAATTTAAAATTGGTGAACCAAATTTGTTCTAAGATGCAGAAACCAATTTGGGAAAATCGAATCACCTCAGCATAATACAATAAAACCATGTATTGTTCATGCTCTAATAAATATTTAAGAGATGTTTCTTGCATAAATTAATGTAAACAACTATCCATCATATAACAAAGTGTCTTGGAGAAAATGATCACTATAAGATTTAAGACACGTAAGGGTGGAAGACCTTTATTATAAATTGTTGATTTATATACCATATGCACTTTGGGCATTAGAATAATTGGATTAAAATGCACAGCATAGACTTGCTTGCCTTATTTATATAACTTCCAATCAATATAGAATTTGATATGGTTATGATTAAAATACCAAAAATATCTAACTTGTAGGCTGAAAGTAGTGGAAAGAAGCCAGCTAGCAGGTCACATTTTTTTTCTTTTGTCTTTTTGAAAAGATGATTATTTATAAGACCTGGGTGAATAATATCATGGTTACTTGATGTCAGAAAGATTGATCTGAGACTCCCTTGAGAGGCTATTCAGTAATTCTGTAGCTGAAGGGCCATCATTGAGAAAGCACGCTCCCTAGAAGGTATCTGTCTCACATCACTTAGCAAAGGCTCTACACAAAGAGTAGGGCCTCCCAAAAGCGTCCTAAAGAGTGGCCAGGACTGTATGTATGCATATATGTACTGTATATGTATGAGTGTGTGTGTCTGTGTGTAATATATGTATAGTATAATAAAGAAAATCTTGATTTTACATGAAAGCTGATTTCAAGCATTAAGACCTTAAAAATTTTAAAGCCAGAATTCTACATTAAAACCAGAAACGGACCAGGGGCAAATGCAGCAAATAAAGTGTTAATGTAATATGAATGAAAAAGCAGTTAGCAATCTTGCTTCCTTACTTTGGATCGGCTGCAGTTTCCAGTCAGTTTTTAAGAGCAGCATCATGTAATATGCATTGCAATAGTCTAAAAGGATGACATCAAGCTGATAAAAAGTACTAAATCATCAGAATACCCAATTACCAAAGGATTAATAGCATGGGGCTGGGGAATTCTGGGAATTAAAGTCCACACCTCTTAAAGTTGCCAAGGTTGAGAAGCACTGATCTAAATGACGTCATCTAAGATTGTGTGAAATTTGATAGTTCTTGCATGTGAGTTTAGGAGAAAGCAGTTATTCTGAGGAACTCGTAATTAACCATGGTGTATCTGCTAGGTGTCTCTATGTTTGCTACTCTTTGCATCTCTTCCAAAAGAGGAAGGTTGACAGGAAAACATTTTACTCCATATGTAAAAGAATAACAATGTCGTGGCAGGTAGAGCAACTGAAGGAAGAGCTAAATGCCAAAGAGGCTCAAGGGGAAGAACTGAAAAAAAGAATGGCTGGTCTCCAGACTGAGGTCTCTGCCGTAAGACTGAAGTTTCTATATGCAGTGCCGCTCACTTGGGCTCTGCTAGCTTTCTGGGGTGGCTTACTGTCCTTACTTTACTCTCTGCAACTCTAAAGAGCAAGAAAACTAACAGTTCTGTATCTGTCCTTATTTGCATCTGGTTGGTATATTACAGTGTATAATCTACTCCTTTGGGCACCCAGTTTTTGTTGCTCAGTTTGACGATCACCACGGAGATGTTGCATGAATTGTAATTTTAGCACTTTGAAAGAATACAAGAGTAAATTGTCACATAGCATGATTCATGTCTTTGAGATGCATGTACTAAGCTTTTGAAATGAATAGTAAAGTTTGCCCGTTCTAACTTTCAGCTAACATAGACAATCTTCTTTGAATAAGGCTGTGTAGTTTTAATAAACTGTTAGGGGCAGAAATATGTATCTTGTGTTGCTTTAATTTCCTATGCTGCCTTGAATGAAGCATTTTACATATAATGCATGGACACATTTGATATCTTTGATGGTTATATGATTTATTGTATGCAGAGAATTTAACTTCTATTTCTAGTAAAATGCAATTCTCTGATAAATATTTAAAAGAGAAATTATTTTACTATTTGAAAATGTGTGTGTTAATCTGTGGTCTTGCATTGATCCTGTGCTCTTTTCTAAGTGGGAACATTTGTGTGCTTGAGAAACTTGATTTGTTGATTTTGAAAGTTTCTGAATTTTGTATCCTGCCTCATAAATGATGTCTAGTTGATATACTGTGTAGGTAATGGGAAACTATTGCATTTTTCATCTTAAAAATTAAGTCTTAATGCAAAAATGAAATGGAGATACACCTGCCTTTACGTTCATAATCTAATGTAGACAGTATTGATAACAAAGGAAGAGGAAACACTCTACTTTTTTGGCACCTTGGCATTACTATTAGAACTAAAGGTATTTTTAAAGAGCTAGGAATATATTGAAGGGTAAAAAGATCACTATTTAATATTTAAATTACTTCCATGGTGTGGGGTCAGCAATGTGATACCTACAGGTGTCAAAAGCATATGTTGCCCCCAAAAGATTTTGCATAAAATGACAGAATTTTGAATTCTGATTCAAATTCTGAATTGAATTTTGAATGAATTAAGATTGCTAACGTTATCAGATTTTTACTTTCTTGCCCAAGACATTTCAATTTTATTGCATGAAATTTCATGAGATTTTAATGTTTGTGCGTGAAGTCTAGCAAAATTTTACCATTTTTACAGAAGTTCTTAAAATATGGCCAGCATTTTAAAAGACTGGCCATTTAAAAAATGGTGGATGCTTGAACTAATAGCTAATTGTCCCCAAGACTTGAAAATAACCTTGGAAATGAAGTGAAGCTATGTTGGTTTGCCCATGTATGTTGCTCTGGTTTATATTTATATTTTATCCTGCCTCTCTTGAAGTGAGTGAAAAATGGGTGAAGTAATAATAATGCTGGCATGTAATAAATGCTAATGGTACTTTTCATCACACCTGAACAATTTTTGCTTATGAAAAACCAGGTTTCTTTTCCTGCTATTCACTTTTGAATGCTTAAGAAAAGCTTATGCTATGACTGATTACTTTGGTATTTGGGCCTTTTTAAATTTTAGATTGTCCACAATTGTGAGGCTTGCCACACAATTCTAGTGGTTATAAGAGAAGCTATATACTACAACTATAGTCTTATGGTCTTCATATCAAAGACTTGTTTACTTTTAGGAATGCTTTATTCTCTTTTTCTCAAAACCACTTTAAACTGTACTTACACAAAAGCGTGCTTTCCAGTTCACTATTCCTTTATTCAGATTCCTTGAGCTGGCTTGATGCTATACCTTTGAGATTGCTGGAAATGTTGTTCTAAATTGGAATTAAACAATTTCCATAATGCTTCTGAATGTTTTCTGTGATGCACTGTTGCAGTTTAATAGCATATATTCTTATATTTGGTTCTTCCTTTAGATTGGTCAAGTGAAACAGGAACTATCACGGAAAGATACAGAGTTGCTGGCTTTACAGACAAAATTGGAAACCCTCACAAACCAATTTTCTGATAGCAAGCAACATATTGATGTACTCAAGGAATCCCTCACAGCAAAAGAACAGCGAGCTGCCATCTTGCAAACAGAGGTAAAGGACACATCCATAATGCTGGGAAGTTCTCTACAATGATTGGCCATTTCAGACTCCCATCAGTGTATATGGAAAGCTTGAATCTTTGTCTAGATATGCGCTTTGCATTTAATTACAGTGAATCTCATTTGTCCTTCTAGTGCCTACTCATCCTGAACTGAGAGGTAGTTCTATAGCTCTGCTTTGGATGTCACAGTATTGAGTACAGGTAGCCCTCAGCTAACAACCACTCGTTCAGCGACCATTCAAAGTTATGAAGCACTGAACGTGTGGTAATTAAGATTAGTTCTCGAAGTTCCGGCTGTCCCAGCAACCCTGCAGTCACATAATTGTGATCCAGGTGCTTGGCAGCCAGCTTGCACTTAAAACGGTTGCAGCATCCCGCAGTCACATGATCACCATTTGTGACCTTCCCTGCCAGCTTCCCACAAGCAAAGTCAATGGGGTATCATTTATTTTCATCCACAGTTAAAATTGGCTATCCATTCCTAACCTCTACTTTGTGTTTTTTAACTAGTCTGTAAGAAAACCTGTCCTTTTTATCAGGTACTAAACTTATTTACACCTACACTGAAATTAAACATAATTAAAGCCAGTTTCCTTTTAATCAGGTTTTGTCATCTTCTTCCAAATCCTCATTTCAAGTCCTAGTAGAAAAGTAATTCTTCCTTTTTAAGTGCTCATGTAACACATTTGGAATTGACACTGACAGAAATATGAGAGGATTTCACACTGGAAAAGAGATAATTTGATTTTGTGACCTTCTGTCAGTCTTATAACTGTAATTAAAGACATACATCAAAACCGATACAAATACAGCATCCAACGTTTTTGATATTGCTTTTTTGGTTCTATGGTACATTTTAAAGTCTTGTCTGTATTCTGCTTCATCCTTTATTTACAAATATGGGCAAATGGTGCACATAAGATCATGTAAATTCGTGTTACGGTTTATGTCTTTGGAAGAGGTAAGTTCATGTAAAATTATAACATTACAAGTATTAGAAGTCCTTTAATCTTGACATTGAAAAATGAATGATAAGGAGTTGGTTCTTTGGTTCTTTGGTTCAAATATATCAATTATTAATAAAGGGAGAAACTAGCATTCTTGTGGCTTTTAGTCTGATAGTAGTATTGCCATTTGTCAATACTGTTGCTTTGATATATATTTGTTGTGCTATAGACTAATGTACGTTCTGGCAGGCCTTGTATTCTGGAAACAATACAGATGGGTTTTGATTTCTTACTGGGCAAACTTGCATTACATTTTTAACTCAATTTATCCTGGAAAGTGTTCAGTATAAATACCTGTAGCTGTTCTGCTGTATATACAAGTGAAACTCGAAAAATTAGAATA